GATGAAGTTGATGGAAGACTCGACTCTGCCGTCAAAATAGAGGTTTCCAGCCGTAACGTCCTTGTCAAAGCGAAGAAGTTGCTTCTTAAATTCCAAAAGGTGTTGGAGCAAGAGAAGAGTTGCAAAGAAAAAGGTGTGTGCCCAATGTGCAGAGAGTTGGCGAATAAAGTGAAAGAGTTGATGATAAAGAAGGAAGAAGATGGCGTGATTTTAAAGCAGCTCACCAAGATCTGTAAAACAAAGGTTCCAAACAAACAAGCGAACTGCTTGGAAATAGCGATGAAGCTTTCTGAAGAAGCGATGAAAGTGAAAGATGCGACTTTTTTGAACACAGAAAACATGTGTAGAAAGGCTGGTGCGTGTCGGTTGTAACTCAGTTTTCTTTTTATCCATCGCGAACAGACGTTGTGTTTAACGCAAATTCAGAAAAGAATTGAAAAAATAGACATACAATATACACCTTCAACACTGACAAGCTTTCATCAACACCTCAACATCATCAACACATCATCAATTTATCACTTCCCTCCATTTCTGTCTTTGGGCTGGTCATTTGCGGAGTCTTTCTCTTTCTTGTAATCGGGCTTTTCGTATCGTCTTTCTCTGTCATCTCTTTCGTAATTTCTCTGCCTCCTTGATCTGCTTCTTGACCAACTTCGTGATCTGCTACGTGAAAAGTCACGTGAATTACTTCGGGAATGTCGTCTTGAATACCTCGAGTGTCTGTGCCTTGAGTCGCTTCTCGACCGACTTCTTGACTCGTCAGAAGGTGAACGTCTTCTGTGTCGTCTTGCATCTCTGGAGTCACTGCGTCGCCGAGCGGAGTATCTTTGACGGGAGGAAGATCTGCTTCGGGACCGACTCTTAGAACGGCCATGTCTTTCGGAAGCAGTCTTTTTGTTTGAGACATGTGTGCTGTGTGTTATTGTAATGATATCAAAGTAAACTATATGGAATCAAAAGAGAACAAACAACTTGTAGTCTCTGTCCACTACCTTTGCACGAAACCCACGATCCCAACGAAGTTGAAGTAAACGACCGTCCACCTCTTTCCCCGTAAATCTGGTTGTCAGTCCTTTACTTTTATAAAATATAGAAAACAAAACTCGTTCTTTGCTTTGAGAGCATCTTCGTGTGTCGGAAACTCAACAAAGCCAAACCCTCGAGGGCGGCCAGTTTGCGGAGCGGTGACGATTTTCACTTTACAACCGTTGCAATTGAATATATCTTCAAGCTCCTTTTCTGTTGTATTAAAAGTGAGGTTTCCGATGAAGAGATTTGTGAAATCGTTGTTGTCGTCGTTTGGTGGAGGAATTTTGCTCATTTATGTTGTAGTTTTTAGTTTAATAATTATAAAAAGTTCAAAATTTCTAAAAATTTCATTTTATAAATTTTTTATATGAATTTGATAAAAAAAAGCTTTTCCTGGTGTTTGTAAAAAAGTTAAAAAATTTGTGATATTCTTAACACAAAATTCTTACAATAAATTAATTAATTAACTTACTATACAATTTTGACGTATTATTTGGTATTATTGAACAGTTATATATTTGCATCACTCAGGTTTAAACTAATTCTCTTATTCTCTTAATTTATGTTTGTATTATATTTTTAATATTTATTTTATAATTTATAGAATTTGTTACACTCCAGGAAGTTTATTCTTATCCTAAAACCAAATATCAAATATATTATAAATATAGTATTATAATTTAGAAATAAATTATACAAATGTTCAAAAAAATCGACTATGCGCAGTAAAAAGTTCCGAGATTTCATTACCAAAACGTCAAAAGCATAACATTTATCACGCCATTTTTTTTGAAAAAAAATGCTAAATAACATCCCCTTAGCATTTTTGGAACAAAATCAAGGCAATACGCAAAAATGCCAGAATCATATTATTTTATATATTTATTTAGTATAAAAACGTTAAAATTGGAAATAGATGGGCTGTTGTATTATTATATTGCCACGTTTTAACAAATATGTTTAATATAGATATAGACACGTTTGTGATAACTGTCTTCATTTAAAAAAAATAATTCATAACAACCACACATAATCTCCAACATGTTTTTTCCCATGTTGGAGATAAAATAAAATCGCGAAATTAACATGAAATAAATAATCACAAACAGCTGTTTTAATTATTTTTTGAAATTTCTTGTCAAAAGTAAACAAATAATAAAATACATAAACTTAAGTTTTTCTTCTTTAAACGTCTGGATCTTTTGACTAATGCTTGAATTTATTTGATATTTAAATGAAAGTGACGATACATAATCAAACTATTAGCAACAATTTCCAAGGAATATATATTATTAGTGGTTTTTTGAAATCATTTACAGACTTGTTTTTAAATCAATTAAACAAGTCAATGAGATGATTCATTCTACTAATTATTATTTATTTGTTAACATTATTCATACATTTAAATATATAATATTAGAAGGTTTGAATAATGATCAAAATTTTTATTACAATCATACAAATTCTTAGACACCTTTAACTTGTTTTAAAAGATTTGAAAAATACAAAAAATGAGTTAAATAATAAGATAGTTTGTAAAATAGTTATTGAATTCAATTCAAACACTACCTTCCGTTATTTGTATCATAAGTTTGATGACAAAAGTTACTATGAAAAGACAAACAACCAATATCATTTATTTTTCAAGAGGATTGTCTTTAAAAAAACTCAAAGATTGTCAACTAATTCCAATAATTACTTTTCTTAACTTCGTTACTGACACGTTAACTTATTTTGGTTACTACTCAAATCATAATTGTAATTACCGAATTCTGTTTTATTGATTCTTATAATTTGAATAGTTTGTTACAAGATTTGTGGGGTGCAACACTTTTAATTGTTAACTGTATTCGTTTATTAAAAAAGAAATTAATTTTAATGTTCAACAAACAAAAGAAAATTATCTTATAAAGCAATATATTTATTTTTCGACTATTTTATTGAGCGAACATTTATGGTCGATCGTTTCTATTTTAGAATTGGTGGCTTTTCGAACTCATTACCCCATTTTTATATTATTTAAAGTTAAAAGCAAAGTTATTTCCCATTATCTATCGCTTGGAAAAACACTATTAAATAGGGATGTTTTGCAAGTTCACTAAAGATTGAAAAGAACTTTATTTTTTACGAATTGATATTGAGCGATGATTTCTGGGCGCCTCCCATTAATCATCGACTCAAAACATCAATTATTATTATAATATATTAAACGATACTATACTTGATAATCTACAAAAACATTTGATTACTTGTATTTTTAAAAGCAAAAATGATTTTGGGGAAGAAAACCCGTTGTTTTGGCAATCAAATCTCTCAGTTCAAGCCATTGTGTATTTAGAACTTGGGGCAGTTATTTAGTTTAAGGCGAAAGTGTGTTTTTGGTAAGAAAAAAAGAGAGAACAACATTCCTCTTTCAAATTCAAATATTACACAAAGAAATGGTGTATAAAACAGTGGAAAAAAACGAATTAATTCAGATTTACAAAAAAAATGAAAACTAGTAAAAAATTGATAGTTTTTGAAATGTGAGTGCGAGAAAAGCAAAACATGAAGAGAACTTGAAAAAACTTCGATAATCGACCAATACAATGGATTCGTAAAAATAGCCTGTCATTCAAAACGGAAATTTTATTCGAAAAAAAAAGAAAGAACATTCGCAAGTTATAAATATAAATAGGTTCAATAATTCTAAAAATACATAAAAGATGGCAAAAAATTATCGCCGTATAAATAGGGAAACTGTATAACAAAGTCACAGTTATCATGTCATCGACACAGTCATACACACAAGACAAAAAAGGCGACACCCGTATCAACAAGTACCAGATCTACAAGAATTATCAAGTCTTCCAAGAGTCTATTCTTATTAAGTTACTTCTTCCGTATTGTGACATAGTCTTTTGTAAACCTTCGAAGAGAACAACAACAACTTTCCAATTTCTTTATATCAAAGAAATCAAATTCAACAATTACTCAATCAATGTTGTCGACTATATCGAAAGAAGATGCACTGAAATCAGTGAAATGGAGAGACGAAAGGGAGTGAAAGAAAAGACTACTATGAGAAGGTTTGAAAACAACAGGTTCACCGAATGCTTACACTTCTTGTCCGATTTACTATCGGAGTTTGGGTATTTTTTCAACACTACAAAGTCTCAAGGCAAAAACGGAATTGCAAAAAGTGAAACAATACAACAGATCTTTAAAGATGGAAGAATTGTATTCAACAGAAATATGGTCGAAGTTTTGGGGAAAAATATGCACACCTCTCTCCTCGAAAACTTGAGCAAAAACGCTAGCTGCACTATCCACCAAAATCAACTGTAACAATGTAATCTTCTCGACTCAATTAAATTATTGTTTGTGTAGTATATTTTTATTAATTATAATTATAAATGGGTTTCGAATGTGTGGTATATTAATTAATAAAGTTTTAAATTGAAGTATTAGAATTAAAGAAAATTGTTTTAAAATTACACTAAAGTCAGTCTGGAAACCTTATTTATTCCAAAAACCTTATTTATTGACAAAAATAGGTTATTTTTTTTGTTATTTGGTTTTGTTTTTCAAAATTATTTTTTTTTGTTTGAAATCTTTGTTTTTTCAATTCAAACGAACTTAGACAAATTGACAAATTTGATTTTTTACTCAAACATCGCGTATAACACCAGAGAGTGGTGCCGTTGTTGTAAGCAGCGGTTGGGTGGATTTTTGTGTGTGAGATGACAAATGCAACACGAGAATTCGACAATAATCAACTTGGATTTAATTAAATAATTCATAAAAAACAACGAGACAATCATAATCAAAAGAACACCACGCTTGGCAGACTCGAACATCGAATTGTTGTACTGCAGTCGGGTAAAAGTTGTTTATAATAAATTGTCTTGGCTGCGTGGACGTCATTTCGCTCTTTGTAAGAGTAGAGTCAGTCTTTTAACGTTATCTGGTCTCAAACGTTATCTGGTGGACAAAAAATACTTTCATTTTTGTCTAAACATCGGGCATTAGGTAAAGCGTGAAAAAACCGGAAACAAGTGGGATGGATTTTTGGGACTGCTCCCCGAATTATTCCATTTTTTATGGTCCAAAAGGCACCAGATAACGTTTGAGACAGACTGTACATTTAATAAGTCGACTCACGCCTTATAGCAAAATTCTTCAAAAATGATCCAAAAAACTTGGTTTGTTTTGTGTATTTTCCCGTTAATTTGGGGTAATAACACCATTAATATCACCATTTATTGACAAACAGAAAAAATGAAATGATTGGCTAAATGACTTTAACCCCATTTATGTTTTTGGTTGTGTTATTGGAAAATAGTTTAAATAATAGTAATATTTATTAAACATCCCAAATTTGCATTTTTTTCAAAGGGAAAAAAATAAATAAGGTTTTTGGAATAAATAAGGTTTCCAGACTGACTTTATTATTATTTATTAGCTCCAAATTATTAGATCACATACTATTAAATATCTTTATTAAAATATATTATATCAAATTTGCTTTTATTTACAAAACACAAATAAATAGTTTTTAAATTATTAATGTATAGTAAAATTATTGGAATATTTTTACTATATATAATAAAAAAACTATATATAAATAGTTTTTAATAAAATAATCATAATAAAATTATTTATTAATTTAATTATAATTGTTTGATATTTTTGATATTGTTTATTTACTTAAAACCAATTGATATAATAAGAAAAGAAGTTAAAGATATAATAAATGTCTTTTAAAAGCACAAAAAGAGAACAAAAAAATACAATGGAAATAGAGAAGGAGGGAAGTGACAAAACACAACAAAAAGAATTATTAGAAAATGGTCGCAACTGTTTCATAGAGATATTAAAATCTTACCGCAAAATCATTCGTACAGTCAAAGAGGACGAACACGAAGACAACAAATATCCTCATGTTTCCGCTTTCAAAGTGCAAACGGAGATATCCCGCATCACTCACAGCTTCGAGCAAATACAAATTGTTCTCAATGAGACAATGCAGCAGTTCGTCTTAATTCAAAACGCCGGTCGTGATGATCGCATCGAACACCACCAAAATGTTTTAAAGGATTCCCAACGCTCTTTAGACCTTTTTTTGACTCAACTTGAGTTACTGACAGACCAAGGAGAGTCTTTAATTGCCGAGTGTGAGTCTGCTCTCCTTCCCCCAACAAAGTAATTTATTATATTTGCTGTTGTGCCCATAGACAAAATCAATACAAAACATATTACATATCTCACATTACTCTCACGAAGTCTCTCTCTTCAAGCGTTTCTTCTTTTCTTAGAGCTGGATTCTTTGGTGGCAATGGCGGCGCTTGTACTTTTCGAGATCCCCTTGGAGATGAGTTGATCATCACCTTCCGCTCTTTCCACACTTTTCTAATGGGAAGTGGTGGTGGCTGACTCCTATGCATTTCGTCCAATGGAGCAACTTTAGAAACCGTGATGACTTTTTGGTGAAATTCTTCAACTTCCTTCGTAATTCTTTTATCGCTCTCAAATGTTGTAATGAATTGGATGTTCCGTGGCATCCCAATCAAATTCCTGTTAACTCCTTCAGTGGGGTCCATGATCTTGTCGATGTCAAACGTATACACAAATTGCGTGTCGATAAAGAGTGGGTGCAAAATGATCTTCCCAAACACAACAGTCTTGTCCCTTGTTTCCGCCGCAATTGTTATCACTGTGTCATTCTCTAACACGACATTTTGAAAGCTTACGACAAACGCTCCCTCCTTCATTTCTTTACAGTTCTGTGGTGTTCGTGTGAGCAATGGTTTCGCTTCCGAGTGTGACAACCTCGAGAAATAGAATACTGGAATTGCTACATCCGAAAAATCTTTAGTGATATTAAGCGGTTTGAAGTTCGACACCACGACTGTTCTAATCACAACACTATAATCCGGAATCGGTTTAAACGGCACTTCTCTGGGCGAGACGGACAAGTAATAATAGAAGTTGTGGCAATACCTTATTTGAGGTGGTGAAGTTGCTCCTTTCATTATCTTCGACCTTCTCTTTGCGAAGAATTCGAGTGCTTCTTTCGCATCAGACACAACGCCAAGTGCCAATAACACACATGAACACACCAACCCAGTTCTTCCTCTCCCAGCCTTACAGTGGACACACGCCACATGATTGGGGTTGTCTAAGATATACAGCAAAATATCGCCAACAACTTTTAAAAGGTGATTAAACCTCGGAGGGTGATGGTCCAAAAATCCGACGTGTTCTACTCGATTCTGGAACTCGAGTGAACCGTAAGACTTCTCTGTCAAGTTCCAGATCATGTAATTGTTGTGGTGATGTTCTTCTAAATACTGTGCGACTTCCTCTTTGGAATTTCGCCACTGCGAGGTGATACCAGTCGCAGGGTAACCCATCGCGACCAAATTTGGTAAGATGTATGTAAAGTCAAAAGAGGTTCCGTCGACTTCTAACATAAACTTATCATCAGCAACTAGCCGTCGAAGCATTGTCTTGTCTGTGTTTTTTAGTCTTTACTCATGTTTTTGTTGTTCAGATAATTTATTGATTTTATTCATTTTTTTTTGGTGATAACTAGTATTCACATATTTTATTTAGTAAAAATAATATTTTACTATAGAAAATATTAAGATTGTTTTTATTCAAAAAATATTGGTAAAAAGTCTTTTAACATTCTGCCAAATTGTCAATCTCAAATAAACTATTTACTTTAGTTAAAAAAATGATAATTAAAACTAAAAAAACGAATGGAATCATGTTTTTAAAAACGAAAAAAACTATTTAAAAAATATTCAAAGATTAATAAATCGAAAAAATTTAGTAAAATACTATAAAGATATAATATTTTATTTTATTTTAAATTTTGATAAAATATTAAAATATTTATTTTTAGTGTTAAAAACTAAACAATTTTTTTAAATAATAATTATTTAATATTAATATAATTATATATAGTATTTGTTAAACACAAATAATTGTATGGTTTTTAATTTCATTTACATTAAAATTATTATTGATATTTAATAAAACTATGTTAATAATAAATACAAAACCTTAAATTATTTATTTATTCAAAAAAATAGAAAAACAAATAATATACTCAACTCAAATTGTTTTTAATTGTTTCATTTTTCTTCTTTATATTTTTTATTTATTTTATCAAACAAAGACAAAGCATCAAGCTCCAATTTCCACATGTCCTGTTGCTTTTGCTCGACGATTTTTTGTTTTGACATTTCTGCACTCTTTTCTTTCTTCAACTGTTTAAACTCTTCATAGCAGCTCTTCTTTAATTTATTCGTGTTGTCGTTGTTCACTTTTTTAGGCTTTGAAAAGTAGACCTGTTTCTGGCACTCGTCCAACATGTCTCGTAAAGCCTTCAAATGGTTTGTACCGTCTGTTCGTTTTTTTCTTCCTTCCTATCAGCACTTCATTACCAAACGTGTTCAAAAAACAAACTGTCCTTCGTCTTCCCCTCAATAGTGTCCATCCTTCCGCCAATTATTTCTCCCCTTAACTATTTGTTCGTTCCTCCACTTCGACCTTTTCACTCTTTTTTGGGTGTTTAATCTCAAAAAGAAAATAAATTCAAATCATTAAAAAAACTATAATGAAATTAGAATTACACTTCGTTTTTTAAACGAAAATATGAATACTATTAAATATACTAAAAAGAATTATTTAAAAGGTAAACACATATTCTTGATGAGATCCTCAACTGAGATAAATCCATCAATCGGAACGACGACCTTATACAAGTCCTCGACCTCCTGTTCAGTTAATTTGTCTCCCATTGTGGTCAACACGTTTTTGAGTTCCGTGGCGGAGACATATCCGTTCTTCTCCTTGTCGAATATCGCAAAGTTCTCTGTGACCTTTTCTGGTTTGTCCGTATCCTTTTTCTTGTCCTTCATAATGTTTATGTACGTGTCGAGGCTGTATAACCCCGATGAATTTGAATCGTTTTGTGTGATAATCTCGTCCATCTTTGAGGTTTCAAGATTGACGCCGAAAGCTCTAATAGCGTACTTGAGCTGTTCTGCAGTGAGCATGTTGTCTCCATTTGTGTCAAAATAGTAGAAACACTCCTGCAAATCCTTCTCGTCAATTGGTTTGAAGTTCTCCGGTATGATCTGCGGCTCTTGCTTTGGTTTCACTTCGCTTGTGTTTGTTTCGGGTTTCGCCGTTACGACATTTTCAATCTCAACTTTGAAAGGTTGAACTTGAGAGGTTTCACTTTTCTGTGTTTCAGATTTTGAGAGCTCAAGATTGGAATCGTCTTTTTGGGGGGTGGAAACTGTTTCCACAGTCTGCAAAGGATTTTCCGGTTTTGGTGTTTCTTTGATGGGCTCAACAACTGCTGGAGTGATTGGGTCTCCTTCTGTACTTGGAAGTTGTTGGGACATTTGAAATAACAATTGAGTTCTTTTATTATTGATAGTTCTAATGTGATCATATTATATTAATAATAAAAAACTACTATTTATGATACAATAAAATAATCCTTATTTATAATATCGTTGAAACAATATAATATACTGTAAAAATGTGTGTTAATTTTGAATAATAAAAGAACTATTATTTTAATACTTTTTTTAAGTAATATAGTGATAATTATACTTATTACTTATAAGTATAATTATAAGTAATATTATAAATTATAATATATAACTTATAATATAAGTATATATTATATAAGTAAACTATTATAATTATAATTATAAACCATAAGTAAAATAAAAAATGGTTTATAATTATAATAAAATAGTTTGTTATATTTAAAATCAACATTAAATAATAAAGTAACTATAATATGTATGATTTATCATAAAAATGACAATACCCGGAAAGACAAAGCATTTAAGCGCAAAAAAATTGGAAAAACAAAGAGATAATAGAAAAAATTGAAAAAGATATTCAGTTGCCAGACTCACAATTCTCGCCCTTTATGATGGGCAGCACCACAGATTTACGTCAATTGAGTCAGATTGGCACCTCAATATACGGTGACCGACTCTCAACCACAACGGAGTCTCAAGACAGACTAAACAACCCCAACAAGACACACCCAGAAATTGCGAACGTCGTTTCCACATTCCAACTCAACCAACAACTTGACCTCCGTCAAATCGTAAAAAGCGCGTAATGCCGAGTACAACACAAAGCGTTTTGCTGGCGCAATCATAGAATATCAAGTCTAAAATCAACAGCACTCATTTTAAAAACTGGAAAGATTGTGTGCACAGGAACTCGATCGATTGAGGAGAGCAAGATTGCTGCAAAAACCATAAAGAAAATCGGGTACAATGAGGTACGTTTTTCAAACTTCAACGTTCACACCATCAGATCTTGTGACATCAAATTCCAAATCTCGCTCCGTCCTTTGTATGACAGCAACACCGATATGTGTCAGTACGAACCAGAGGTGTTCCCGGTTCTTGTTTTCAGAACGACGCAACCAAAAGTGACACTTCTTGTCTTCTCAACCGGAAAGGTTGTGTTGACTGGTGCTAAGGACGACGAAAATCTGAACACAGCATACACCAAGATATGCCCAATCCTCTTAGCAAACAAGAAAGAGGAAATAGGAAACCCATAATGTGCTATCTATAATTAATATTCCCTTTTGTTTCGAAACAAAAATATTTTTTCCAGTTCATTTTTCGTGCATTATTAGTTCATCTCAACTTTACCATTTTTTTAGTTTATGAATGATTCTTTTTAATCTTCTTTTAATATTAAAATGGCTATAAAATATATTATAAAAAAAATATAATACATTTATAGTAAAATTCATGGTAAATACACTTATATGAGGTAATGGGATATATCATCATTAAATTCTGGACTTGTTTTGTCCTCTTTGTTTCTTTGTTGTTGGTTGATTTGTTCTTCTTTTTGTTCTTTGTTTCCCACGTCAGTTGTTTCCTTCAATTTATCGATTGAATTGGTCACATCGATTGAGAAGTCTGAACACACTGATCTCACGGCATTGACTGGTGTTGAATTTGAAACAGCGGCTAACCCATTCTCGACACTGTTTTTCGCGCTGTTCCATTTATCCGAAACGCCAAGAGTATTATCGATATTCTCAAGGGTATTAGAAACTTTTGTGGTGACTTTGAACTTATCATCTGCGGCAGTAAAACAACTCCACACCATCACAGTGCCAAGCGCTAAGTACTCAGTCAAATGGAGTTTCTCGTCAACATTCACTGCGACGTTTTTCACCATTCCAGCGCCACTTTTTATCGATGTTGTAATGTTGTGTGTTTTATCAAATTCGACTGCCTTTTGGAATGTATCTTGTGCCACGACATACCCATGTGCAATCAAAGAAGCTACAACAGATGTCTTTGTTTGTCCATTCTGTGGATTATTGTTTTGTTGTGGAGTTACAAGGAATGAATAGATCTTTTCATCAGGGAGGTGTAAAAGAGTAGTCGGTTTAATATCGACTCGTTCGTGATAGAGTAACACTCCAGTCATAAGTTCCGCTGTGCGAACACTTTCCAGTGAATCAAAGAAGATAAGTGCGTTGATGACATTAGACTCTCTACTTGTCTGTGAAATGTGGATCTCTTCTATACAACCAGTGAATGAAAAGAAAGAAATCAAGTCGTCGACAGTGACATTTTTGTCAATGTTACTAACTAACACAACATAGTGTTCTAAAGACATTTAAATGAATTACTAGTTTTTATTAGTTTTGAATTCAAAGTATTTTGGCATGATTGGATAAATCATATATTTAATTAGTTTATCAATTATTTATTATCTTATTATTATTTATTATTTATCAATTATTCTTTTATTAATCTTTTATTAAAAAGTCAAAGAACTCCAAAAGAGAAAGAGAACGTTGATGGAACAGTTGAAACTCGACAATACTCTCACAAACCGTTACCAACTTTCGGAGAAATTATATAGTGATGGGACAGTTACCGTGTTTTCAGCCAACGAAGTGATTGACTTTCAAAAACGAATAGCGAGGCGCGTTGCACTCAAAATCGTTCAAATTGATCCAAAAGACACACTTAAGATTCTTCGATTAGATGTGTATTATAATTATTTGCAGGCAACTACGAACGGACATGTTCTTCGGATATATAACCACTTTTTCACAAACAAGAACTCTCCTTTAGAGCTGTGGATTGTCTCTGAATATTGTGGCTTTGGCAATTTAGAAAATTATTGGGCGTCGAACACCGTTGCTCAAGAAGATCAAAACATTTTCTTCATATCAGATATCGCAGTCGGATTGGAATACATCTACAAAACTCTCCGCCACCAACACCTCAATCTGTGCCCAAACAATTTGTTACTCTCACGAGACCCCGCCTCCGTTTTCCCTAAAGTCAAAATCGCGAATTTCGCATTATGTGACGCAATCCAGACGAAAACAGCCCTTGTTCCTGGGTTCGAGGCTACAATGTTTGACGTCACATATTCCCCACCAGAGTATTTAAGCGGGTTTACACACTCAAAGAGTGACGTCTGGTCGTTTGGGATATTAATATTCAAATTACTTGTTGGGTGCACGCCATTTGAAACGATCCAAATGGACCCTCTCACAGCTATGGCAGTACAAGCTAATCTGAGTTTGGCTGTGTACATCCAAAACGAGTCTGCTATTGACTTACTTGAGAAGATGCTTGTGTATGAGCCAGATAAGCGCATTTCGATGAACGATGTGCTCAACCACAAATTCATTCACGACTGTGTGCAACACAAATACGGGACTCGAGGAAGTCGCGAGAATTACAAAGCCGTCAAGTTACTTGATGAAGGGAATTACGGAAGAGTTTTACTTGCACAAACGAGTGCTAATGAATACGTCGCGATCAAAGAAATTTCGAACAAAATCGACAGTTTACAACGAGAGGCGACGTGTATGCGCCTTTGTAAACACCCCAATTTAGTAGAGTACAAAGACTTCTTTGGCTGGGACTATTCGATGGTCAGTGAATTAGTGGGGATGGCCAAAGTCAAAGGCAACTACTTGTACTTAGTGATGGAGTTTTGTGACTCCGGGAACCTCGAGAAGTACATGAAACAAAAGAATGCGCCGTTATCAGATGACGAGATCAAATACTTTTTAGGGGAGATTGGGAGTGGCTTGTGGTATTTGCATTTCATTAAAAAGCTCATTCACCGCGACTTAAAACCCGCCAATTTGTTACTACAGTCGACCGATACTCAAGGACGATATAAAGTGAAAATAGCTGATTATGGATTCTCAAGAGGTATTAACGAGTTTATGGTCTCTAATGTCGGGACACCTATATACGAGGCTCCCGAAATTATTAAGCGGAAGCCTTATACCGCCAAAAGTGACTTATATTCCCTTGGTGTTATTCTCTTCCAAATGGCAACAACGTACTTCCCATTTTCAGACGATCCCCAAATCTTCCAAGTTGCTATGAGGAATGAGACTCCTGTGCAGATCCCAGATGGGTTTGGGATCAATCCTTTGTTAGCAGATTTGATTAGCAAGTTGATCACACACCACGAAGAACTCCGCCTGTCATGGCAACAGTTTTATGAGCACCCTTACGTACTCGAAGCGATGAAGACGTCTGAACAAACAGAAAAGCAGATGGTCGAGGAAGACTTCAAAGAGTTCTAATTTATTATTTGCTTACTAGTTATTTATAGTTATAATACAAAACTTCATACCTTGTGAACAATAAAGTCAATTTATGCAGATTTTGGATGGTCTTTATCATCTGTAGTTGGTTCTTGAGTAACGGTAGTAGCACTACTCTCCGGTTGTTCTGCTGTTTCTTTCTCGGACATAGTAGCTACTTTGTTCGTCACTGCCTTTTGGTTCTCGACTTCTTCTTGGAGGACGCAGACTCTCCATATTACGAAGATGAAGAAGAGGGTATACCCAGAAAGGTAGATGTTTCTTTCTGCTCTGAACTTGCTACAATGTTAGTATATTATATTATACTCGACAGTTCGTCTAATCAATAGATAGTAATACTAACTATTAATTATTAACTATTAACATTAATTAATAAAGAGTACTAAGGAGATGACAAACTTCAAAGAAATCGTGACTTTATTCAGAATAGGATCGTCGGCATCTATCTGAGACAATTGAGTCGAATACTTATAAGATGATCGTAAAGACTCTGCAAAGCAGAGAGTCAACAAGACCAATATTACTCCGAAGATCGTTCGATTAGAAAATACTTTTCGAAGTATTTTGGGGATTTGTCGAGCCAAGATCGCGGGAAGTGGAACTAAGAGAAGGAACAAGACTGCAATTTCGGCCCACAAAAAGGTGTATACAGCGGTCCACACAAAAGTCGCCATTGATTTTCAAGTTCATTGCTTGATTATATTTAAAGTATTTAAGACTTTTCACATCATTATAAAATATTTAAGTATTGAACTAAAATCATTTCAATAACATATCTATTAAAAGGTATAGAATGGACGAAAACTAGAGTAAAAATTATACCAAAACTATTAAAAATAGAAACACAAATCGTACAAACAGACATTATACCACCCTTTTATCTCAAGTAAAATGGAATGACTTGGTCGTCCATCGTCGTTGCTTCTTCCGTTGATTTGTAATACAAGAATGCATACACAACAGACCCAAATAAGTCGAAGAGGAGCACCCACCTTAAAATACTCACGAAGAGTCCGAACAGTGGGAAGTGCAATTTTCCGATGATGAAGATGTTCACCTCAGTGTTCAAATAGACGTTAGGTGATATCACATGAATTAATAAACTAATACCACCAAACCCTATTAACATACACATGAACATTTTAACCCACAAATGATATTCTCTCTTCCGAAGTGTTAATAATTGAAGCTGTGTCTGAGTCATTCTTTCTATAGTAACTTATTAAATTAACTGAATAGAATCACCTGGAAACAAACTTTGACTCTTCCCGTATCTTCTACTTTACAAAAAACACCAACAACATGAAAAAATGCGACTATGAGCCATAAGAGTGTTAAAATGACCGGTGAAAATACCCCAAACATTTTAATGACGTCGTCGAGAATACCACGCTCGTTCACATAAAATCCACATAAGGCTCCACACACACTCTTCTTCCCGATTACAACAGACTCAACCGTCAAACACACAGCTAAAGATACAGTTGCAAGACTTAATAGAACACCTAAGAGTATACCAAGTGTTTGAAGAAACTCTTGTCGTTTTCGTGTCTTCATGACATTTCGGAAGTCGACTTTGAGTTTCTCGATTTTCTCGTCGTTTTGTGTCGACTCGACTTTTTCGTCCATAGTCAGATGGTTGAACGCTTCTTCCGTTTTCAACACTTTTTGTCTCTTTTTGATTGCATTGATTTGGTCTTGGATTGCACTTGCCTTCACACTAACAGGAGTCGACCCAAACAAATTGTGGACAAAATAACAGATCGCCTTCGGAAACGTCACAAGTAGAAATGAAACACCAACACTTGACAACACCAATATGACAAGTACTAAATATCTCTCGTGGAATGTCAGCGTCAAGTTTTCGTAGATCCCTGACGTGACTGCCTTCCACTGTGTACTTCCATGGACAAGACTAAGAACGCCCAATATACTTAAAACAAAGATCGATAATAATGGGTAACTCAATGTGTCATACAAATACCAAAATGCGTATCGGTGCAAAGGGTCCGGTGACAAATGGGCTTGAAAGAACGGGAGAAAGATATATGCAATTACAAAGAGAAATCCATACACTATTCCCGTCACCGACAAATTCATTTGAATAATTTTTAGTCCACTTTATTGACTCATTTTTTAAGCATTTTGAAGATGTTGTGGTGAGCAAAAAGTGATCAAATTGTACTCAAATTATTCTTCTAATTTCCAACTAGCTTGTTTAAGATTTTTTATTCAATGAAATAAATGTAATATATTTAAATAGTTTTAAATATTAAAACAATATTATATTTATATAGTATATTTATATATTAAAATTATAATTTCAAGTACTATACAAAGAAGTATACTCTTGTGAATAGAATACATTGATAAAGAGTCACTACGACTTTCTGCGGACTAACTAAACTCTATCTCAGCAACGAGTTACGCTTAGAAAAGATCTCCAAACCCACCGAAATCTTCTTCGGCTTCCTCTTTTTTCTCTTCTTTTTTCTCCTCTTCCTTATTCTCTTCTTTTGGAGCTTCAGCAGAAGTGGCTGCTGGGGCGGCGGCAACGGCCATTGATCCCATTTGGCTCTTTCCTTCTTCAACTACTTCCCAAACGTTCTTTCCCTCGAGGGATGTGAAGACCTCCTTGAGTTTAGCATCGTCGACTTCTGCTCCAGCAGCAGCCAAGATCTCTTTAACTTTAGCCTCTTCGGCTTTCTCGTGTCCGATTGTGCAAAGGAGGTATGCGGCGATGTACTGCATTGCTGTGCTCAGAGTTTCACTACAGGGTTTTTTCAAGAAGTGAAAGGGTTGCTCAACATGTCAGTTTATTAGAATTTTAATTCTTTTTTACTATTTGTATAGCTTTTTTTTTGGAACTAGTTTATTTTTTGAATAGAAACAACACTGACTTATAGTAATTTATATCAGATCAAGAATAATTATTCAATATAACTAATACTGAAATTGACATTTATGCTCTCATAAAAATATTTGATATTCTCAATTTCTTGTTGGAGTGATTTTACTAAAAAAAATAAGAAAAAAACTATATTTATATATTATATTTTTAATTATTTTATTAAATAATTATATTATAATAATTAATAATAAAATATTTGATATTCGAAGAAAGTGCTTCAAATTAGCTCTTCTTTTCAATTGGATCTCGTCTATTCAAAAAGAAGAGTGAGATGAATGATCCACCCATGAGAGTTAAAAGTATGAGTGCTTGCGTCAGTCTGAAATATTGGATTTGTGGGATAGCGTATGAAAGACCAAGGAACACCAAAAATCCCATTCCCGATGTGAAGCTTTGTGTCGAGTAAAATCCGGCAAATGCAGCGTCGCTTGTGAAGGGGAAGTACCTTCCGATCAAAATATCAATTTGTGTGTTATACCCCGCATCTGCCATTCCGATACATACAATTGCGGTGAACAAAAGCACCATATTAGAAACTTGGTGTTATTATTACTAATTAAGTACTATACTATTATACTATGTAATTCAAGTCACAAACTCCCTAAAAAGAAATGCAAGACTATCGAAAACAAGCCCATAAACATCACCAACGAGGCGATAATCAATGTGGGAATACGTCCGATCGTATCACTGATCCGACCAAAAATTAAAGAAACAACCATGTTGACGGTTCCAAAGACACACATCGCTATCGATACCCACTCAACTCCAAACATTGCTGTTACTTCTCCATATATGTAACATTGTGTTATCCCTGAGTATATAAAAAGAGGAAAGAGTAATAGCATTGCTGGACTCTTAAACACTTTCCACAAATTGCGCAAGTCGGTTTTGATACTGACGCGCTCGATGTCTGGGAGCACTCCCATTCTGAATGTGAATTGTCAACGTGTTACAACAAACTCAAACAAACTGAATAAAGATGAATGGAACTATTCCTATAACACACAAACACGTAAATATGATGAACAAATACACTAACTGTAATCCCGTCAACGTCATGACATAGGCAAAACCATTTCCAACACTTTGATTGAGCTGGTAGATGAAAAAGAAGATCCCGGAATTTCTTCCACGCTTCTCAGGCTTGGAACACCGCGTTAATAAACTCCCTTGCGCACACCACAACACAGATTGACCAAATCCAACAAACAAACTCATTACGATAAGAAGATATACATTGGCAAATATATTCATCGTGAGGAAAGGGACTATACATATACCACCAATCACTAAAGTCCACTTCTCACCAATCCTCCGGATTATTAAGGGGACAAAAAGTCCACAAACGGCAAACGACAAGTATATGGAACACAAAGATATCATGCCATAGTTCCCATACAAACTCGTCATAAAATTTTCAGTCGTGTTGAACGCAACAAAGATGACCAAAAAGCCAACAGAGACAAAGATGATGTTCAACATACGAATATTCCAGTTGCGCTCAGAGCACATGTTTTTCGCATTTTCGTCGGTTCCGATTGTTTCAGATTCAGTACCGTGAGTCATCGTAAGTCTGAAATTTGATTGTTTTTCAGTTGTTCGAACATTTTTGGCATTGTTGAAGTTTTCTATATTCTTTTTGTACTTCTTTCTTTTAAATAAGCTGTTATTTTTCCTCTTCACCTTAAAAAAAAGAAGTACAAAAAGAATATCAATAATTAACCATTATTTGTTTCTATAGTTAATATTATTACATTTATTTGATAAAATTAATTTGTCTCTTGTTTTTTTTTAAATTAACTTTGCCACAATTATCGACAATGATGACCAGAGAATAATTTTTTCTAATAAAAAATGTCTAAAAACTTCCGTTTGACCATTTTTAGAAAAATACATATAAAAAAATAAGTTAATTCCCAAAATTGTTGTTTTTTAACCTTAGGAAGGAGGAACTGGAAAAAATAATAAAAATTATAAGATTTGAATTTTCATCCACTTCTTTATTTATGAAAAAAACAGATGATGATAAACATTGTTAACATAAAATTTAACTATTTGATGTTAATTATATTTTATCAATATTATAATATATTAATTTTTGACAAAAAAATTAATTTTTACCAAACTAACTAACTAACCCAAATTATAAGTCCAATAAAGGATTCCGACTTCAATAAAGAACACTTTTTTGAACACCAGAATGGTTATTAAAAAAACACCCATCTAAACAATGAAACTGATTGTTTGGACACTTTTGTTCATGTAAAAAGAACTAAATTCAAATACATTGTTTGCTCCCATAAAGGATTTAATGTTTGGTGTTGTTATGGACACTTCTACGCAATATGTATCAATTGTAAAGAAAAAAATAAGTATGGTTTTTATTATTTGTTGATTTTGTTTTTTTGTTTAAAAAGAAATAATAAATAGTATTTTCCAGTTGGTCCCAAAGGGAAGGGATAAAAAATAAGTGGATTTGAATCAGCGTTCTAAGGTTAAGTTAAAAAATGAAATTTTCAAGTACAGTAAAAATTCTATCGGTGTGTGGAGTCATGAAAATGGTTTTCCCAAGGTGTGTAATTTTTTTTCTTTTCTTTTTTAATTTCTGGCAAAAAAACTAAAAAATAATGAAATTTGTAAAACTATCCACAATCAAGAAAAATGACAAAATGTGTTTTTTTGAGAAAAAAACGCGACACGTGTAAACATAAAATAATATTGTGAATTTTTAAATGGTTTAATTGTTTAGAATAAGAATAACGCATTGCGTTTTTGTATAAAAACGTGGACTTTTGGTGCGGATTGGTTTTTGTCAATTTACAACTCAAGTACGTCTTTGACATCGGC